GTGGTAGTGGTAGTGGTAGTGGTAGTGGTAGTGGTAGTGGTAGTGGTAGTGGTAGTGGTCGTAGTTGTTGTTGCTGTTGTTGTAGGTAGTTGCGGTCGTCGTCGTAGTAGTAGTCGTCGTAAGTGAGTAAGTGAGTGAGTGAATAAGTGAGTGAGTGAGTAAGTGAGTAAGTGAGTGAGTGAGTAAGTAAGTAAGTCAGTCAGTCAGTCAGTCAGTAAGTAAGTAAGTAAAGTAAGTAAGTAACTGAGTAAGTAAGTAAGTAAGTAAGCAAGTAAAGTAAAGTAAAGTAGAGTAGAGTAGAGTAGAGTAGAGTAGAGTAGAGTAAAGTAAAGTAAAGTAAAGCAAAATAAAGTAAGTTAGTTAGTAAGCTAGTAAGTAAGTTAAGTAAGTAAGTAAGTAAGTAAGTAAATAAGTAAAGTAAAGTAAAGTACAGTAAAAATAAAAGTAAAGTAAAGTAAAGTAAAAGCAAAGTAAAGTAAAGTAAGTTAAGTAAGTTAAGTAAGTTAAGTAAGATAAGTAAGTTAAGTAAGATAAGTAAGGTAAGTAAGGTAAGTAAGTTAAGTAAGTTAAGTAAGTTAAGTAAGTTAAGTAAGTCAAGTAAGTTAAGTTAAGTTAAGTTAAGTTAAGCTAAGTAAGTAAGTAAGTACGTAAGTAAGTAAGTAAGTAAGTAGATAGGTAGGTAGGTAAAGAAGTAAGTAACTAACCAACCAAGTAAGCAAGCAAGTAAGTAAGTATGTAAGTAAGTAAGTAGTAAGTAGTAAGCAGTAAGCAGTAAGCAGTAAGCCGTATGTAGTCAGTACTAAGTAGCAAGTAGTAAGTAGTAAAACTAGTAGCAGTACTAGTAGTAGTAGCAGTGGTAGTGGTGGTAGTAGTCGTAGTAGTAGTACTAGAGGTAGTGGTAGTAGTAGTAGCAGCAGTCGTAGTCGTAGTCGTAGTCGTAGTGGTAGTGGTAGTGGTAGTGGCAGTAGTACTTAGATGGCTTAGCAGTTATAAGTATAGCTATAACGAGGATATATATATATGTTTAGATAATGTAAAAATAAACGACGATAAGTATGCACATAAGTATGATAAGTACATCAAAAGTTATGGCACTTAAAGCAGACTTGTGCTGGAGTTATAGTACATGCACTCAACTTATATATATATATACTTATAAGTATGTCGGAAGTATGACGTGAAGTAGACAGGACAGACTTAGCGTACTTAGGTTCTAGTTATGAACGCTTGGTTTTGGAAGACATTCGCGCGCCCGCAGGTTTTTTCGGCTCAAAAGGTGGAGAATGGCGGAGAGGGCTGCCTTACAAGACTACACACAATTGGCAGACTTGCACAGGTCGACTGCGGAGGACGCCTGGCCAGAGCGCCGCCTGTTGACGGACTGCGTATTCGCTCTGGACGCGTGCGGCCTTTTGTTAGCCCCGCAGTACCGCGTGGAGTCGGCGATGGGACTGTTGGGCCCGCTATAGGCGTTTGGGGACATCAGACGAATGTCTCGCGTTTGTCTCGCGCCGGACACGGGGTCAAAGACCCGGAAATGTCTCGCATGTCTTGCGTTTGTCTCGCGCCACTGACCGTAATCATCCGGCACCAGCAAAACGTCTCTGGCGGGATCGCCTCGCGTTGTCTCGCGTTTGTCTCGCGCCTTCCGAGTGAGGTTTTTTTGGGGGGGAAGAGTGCGCATCGCTTGCGCAGCGTTTTGAGGACTGTGTGGGGCAGCCAGCGGCGTCTCACCTCTGAGACTTGCGTGTGGCAGGTCGATCGAACCGATTGGTTCTTCACGCCGTACTTTTGGAAGCAAAGTCAAGACACCTTCGACTGCGTCCACTGAAAAAATTGTGCTCGCGCAGCGCGGTTTATGTTCGTTTTGTTGAGTTTTGCGATATATGACCGGTTCTTCGAAAAACCTTGGTTCTACCAGGTTACACTGAGGTCATACTTAGGTCGCACTTGTGCTACTTATGTATAAGTAGACTATAATATAGTTATGATACTTATAAGTATAAGTACTATAAGTATACTTATAAGTACAACGCCTTCTAAGTATAGTTAGTAGTAGTAGTACTAGTAGTACTAGTAGTACTAGTAGTAGTAGTAGTAGTGTAGTGTAGTGTAGTGTAGTGTAGTGTAGTGTAGTGTAGTGTAGTGTAGTGTAGTGTAGTGTAGTGTAGTGTAGTGTAGTGTAGTAGTAGTAGTCGTAGTGGTAGTGGTAGTGGTAGTGGTAGTGGTAGCGCTAGTGGTGGTGGTAGTAATAGTAGTAGTAGTAGTAGAAGTAGTAATAGTAGTAGTAGTCGTCGTCGTGGTGATGCGGTGGTGGTGGTAGTCGTAGTCGTACAGTCGCAGTCGTATATAGTCGTAGTCGAACAGTCGAGTCGTAGTCGTACAGTCGTATAAACGTATACAGTCGTATAGTCGTACAGTCGTATAGTCGTATAGTCGCATAGTCGCGGTGGTATTGCCCTACTCGTAGTCGTATAGCCGTAGCCGTAGCCGTAGCCGTAGTAGTAGTAGTAGTAGTAGTAGTAGTAGTTGTTGTAGTAGTAGTAGTAGTGGTAGTTGTAGTAGTACTAGTACTAGTACTAGTAGCAGTTGTTGTAGTTTGTAGTCGTAGTTGTAGTTCCCCACATTGCCGTGTGGGGTTCTTGTTTTTTTGCTGCACCTCCTCGCTCCTCCTCCTCCTCCGCCTTCCTCCTTCCTCCTCCTCTCTCACACAAATCATCTCTCACACAACATCACTCACACAACATCTCTCACACAACATCTCTCACACAAATCGTCTCTCACACAAATCACTCACACAACCTCTCTCACACAACATCTCTCCCACAACATCTCTCACAACAACATCTCACACACAACATCACTCACACAACATCTCACACACAACATCTCGCACACAACATCACTCACACAACATCTCTCACAACAACATCTCACACACAACATCACTCACACAACATCCCACACACAACATCTCGCACACAACATCACTCACACAACATCTCCAACAACACAACATCTCACACCCAACATCTCCGACCGGTACCATTTGCTTGCTGTGTGCGGCGCTTGCTGCTTGCCAAGGGGTCGGATGTACGCCCTGGCGTCGTCTGGCGTCGGCTGGGCACCGGCGCTCTGCCGGTAGCAGTTGCGTGGCAGGTGTGGCTCTGGATGTGGTCAAATCGCGCTCAGCCGGTAGCAGTTGCGTGGCAGGTGTGGTTCTGGGACGCTGTCAAATCGGGCTCTGCCGGTAGCAGTTGCGTGGCAGGTGTGGCCCTGGACAAACACACACCTTACAAACACCTACATGCACACAAGCGTCATACAGCATACATCCACCCACACACTCATACACACTCACGGACAAGCACATACAATCAAACACACACCTCACCTACACACACCGACCCTTACGCATTCTATTTGTCTCGCCTGTCTCTTCCCCATGCTCACTCTTCAGCACCTTATGTCTGCAGCTTGAATCTTTCGAAGTTGTTCCCATGTGGGGTTATCCGGTCCTATAATTGTTGTAGTTGTAGTTGTAGTAGTAGTAGTAGTAGTAGTAGTGGTAGTAGTAGTAGTAGTACTAGTAGTAGTAGTAGTAGTAGTAGTAGTAATTGTAGTAGTGGTAGTAGTAGTGGTAGTTTTAGTAGTCCTAATAGTAGTGGTAGTAGTCGTCGTCGTAGTGGTAGTGGTAGTGGTAGTGGTATAGGTAGTGGTGGTAGTGGTAGTGGTAGTGGTAGTGGTGGTAGTGGTAGTGGTAGTGGTAGTGGTAGTGGTAGTGGTGGTAGTAGTAGTAATAGTAGTAGTAGTACCAGTACTAGTACTAGTACTAGTTGTTGTAGTTGTAGTTGTAGTTGTAGTAGTTGTTGTGGTAGTAGTAGTAGTAGTAGTAATTGTACTAGTGGTAGTAGCAGTAGTAGTAGTAGTAGTGGTGGTGGTAGTCTTAGTAGTCCTAATAGTAGCAGTACTAGTAGTGGTGGTGGTGGTGGTAGTAGTAGTAGTAGTCGTAGTAAGCAATGATTGCTTTCACGTTGCTTTCATTTGCTTTCATATTGCGTTCGTTTGTTTTCATTCTGCTTTCGTTTGCTTCTTTCACTTGCTGTCATGTTGCTTTCATTCTGCCTTCACTTTGCTGTTATTCTGCTTTTATTTACTTTCAACCTGCTTTCATTTGCTTTCACTTTCATGTTGCTTTCATTCTGCTTTAATTCTGCCTTCATTTGCTTTCATTCGCTTTCACTTGGGCTGGTGGCTACAGAGCACAGCTGGGTGCACTCTGAAGAAGCTTCTTTCTGGGAGCTCTGTGAAGAAGGCTGCTGGGAGCACTGTGAAGAAGGCAGCCACTCTGAAGAACCCCTGGTGTGAGCATTCCGAAGAGGCTTGCTACAAGCCCTCTGAAGAAGCTGCTGCTGCTGCTGCTGAGGGCACTCTGAAGGAGCCTGCAGCTGCTTCTGAGACGGCGCACCTGAGCCTGCATCTGCAACTGAGCCTGCATATGTCTGGCAAGAAAGCTCTTCTTCCTACTCCTGGAGGAGCATCTTTTTGAGAGACAGGGAGTTGCCCTCTGGAGTCACTGTGGCAGAGTGGGTCTCTTTTCTGTCCTGAGCGCTTCTGTGCGCGCATGAAAAGAATCTTCTGCAATGTTGTCTGGAAAATGCACTTTTTACATTTTTTGTTTTACATACTTTGACATGTGTGATATTTATATATGTTGTGGGGTTTGGTAACTGAATAATACAATTATGGCTCTGGACTGTGAATTTGGCCTAATTATGGAGGATTTGGTGCGAATACGAAATCAAAATTGATCTGGATTTTCCGGAAAAATGATACTATAATTGTGGCTGACCTGCTTAAGACTAATCCAACATTAAGTTATATGTGTTCCCTGTTCCAGGCAATCAGATGCGATTTGGATGCGAGTTGTATGTTCTTTCTGGAGCGTTTGCACATACACCCAGCATCTCCTTGTCCGGATCCCCTGCTCAGCCTGCCTCCAAGGGTTGGGGCTTGCATCGCCGGGGCTTGCATCATCGGGGCTTGCGTTGGCGGGCTTGGCACATTTGCGCCAGCATCTGGGAGCAAGAAATGAATGGATCAATGGGAACAGGCGATGAAATGCGTTTTAGAATCCATTGCGTTGATGGCAACTTTTCTTCACAGTTCCTCCATCTTCAAGGAAGCAGCAATGAAAAAACGCTTCCACCACCTCCACCAGCGGCCCATCCATCGTAGCCAGCCTGGCATGGACAAAACAAAAGCCAGAAAGCAACACACAGCACTCACAGGACCTCAGAATCTCAAAAACATTTGTTCAAGCCGAAGTTGGATGTCCAGGAGTCAAGCTCAGCTCTTTCAGCCAAGTAGAGTCTCCGAGAGCCAGCTTCATTGCCCACTGCGCTGCAGGTCCGAACGCGGACGGGCGGGAATTCGGAAGCCTCATTGTTCCAGTCCCATCGTTGCTCCGGACGCTCTGGCACGGCTCCTACAGCAAGGATTCTGCAAATCTGAAAACTGTTTGCTGCAAATGGCAAGTGTTTCGAGACAAAGTTCTTGCGAGTGGTGGGAGTAGGAGGAGTAGGAGTAGGAGTAGTAGGAGTAGCAGTAGCAGCAGCAGCAGCAGTAGCAGTATTAGTAGCCGTAGTCGTAGTCGTAGTCGTAGTCGTAGTCGTAGTCGTCGTCGTCGTCGTCGTCGTCGTCGTCGTCGTCGTCGTCGTCGTCGTAGTAGTAGTAGTAGTAGTAGTAGTAGTAGTAGGAGTAGGAGTAGGAGTAGGAGTAGGAGTAGGAGTAGGAGTAGGAGTAGGAGTAGGAGTAGGAGTAGGAGTAGGAGTAGGAGTAGTAGCAGGAGTAGGAGGAGTAGTAGTAGCAGCAGTAGTAGTAGTAGCAGCACTAGCGGTAGTAGTCCTGGTAGTTGTAGTCGTAGTGGTCGTAGTGGTAGTAGTGGTAGTAGTGGTGGTAGTAGTAGTAGTAGCAGTAGTAGTAGTAGTAGTAGGAGCAGGAGTAGGAGGAGGAGTGGCAGTAGTTGTGGTGGTGGTAGTAGCAGTAGCAGCAGTTGTTGTTGTTGTTGTTGTTGTTGTAGTGGCAGTAGTAGTGGCAGGAGCAGTGGCAGTAGCAGTGGCAGTAGGAGTGGCAGTAGTGGTGGCAGTTGTGGTGGCAGAACCAGTGGCAGTACTAGTGGCGGTACTAGTGGCAGTACTAGTGGCAGTACCATTGGCAGTAGTAGTAGTAGTAGTAGTAGTAGTGAGTAGTGAGTAGTGAGTAGTGAGTAGTGAGTAGTGAGTAG